GGGGAGGGGGGAAGGGGGAGAGAGAGACAGATGAGGTTGATGATGTGAGGGCACGTACCTGGTCTTGGCGATGGTCTACAAGGGCCGACATATTCATGTACTTCGGTTCTGCTGCTGACGTCAACTGGATGCATCGTCAATTTGTAGGCTGCTAGTAGGCTGTGATAGTCGTCTGGGCGCTGAACGCCAAATAGGAGGAAGGACTCCGGATACATTTGTTGGTGGTGGCGATAGTATGCTCTCATCGACATTCAGATTCAGTGCTTTGGTTCTCCCTTGGTGGAATATCAGTGCATGTTCGGCTTTCTGGACAGCGTTGGACTTGCTGGCTTTCAATGTGATTTTGCTTTCTGCCAAGTTTCTGGGTTTCTGTCATATCGCTCTCTCATTTTCCTTGCAATTTGGTATCGGAGCTGGTTCGAGCCGCTCCACGGGCTCCTTCGCAATAGCTGTTTGGTGCTTCGCTGGATATGGTAATAACGCTTGTGCGTTGCTGATTGGCGGCCCAGGGTCGTGTGGGCGCACCAGGACGTCTATGAGGTGATATAGGGGTGCACGCTGGATGATGAGAACTTGCTGACGTGGCATTTAAGCCGAGGTGGAACTGCATTGTGTTGTGGGTTGTGCCGAGGCATCGACTGGTCATCGTAAATTCACATCAGGTTACTGGTGAGAAATCTGTGGTTGGGGACAGCATTATGAGGTAGGTTGCTCCTTATACCTTATCTACCCTCTTCGTTGCTTCTTACCGTGAGGAAGCGAGTTATGTCTTGAGAGTCCTCTCATTGTGAGGTGTCGCCGGCGCTCGACCTTGAGAGTCGACATTCTTTCTGGGAAGCAAGCTGGTGGGAGACGGGCGTTGCCTCTGAAGGGCCCTGGACGAAGCACTCGGGTCACAGTCACCATGCCAACCCGTTGGGACTTGTACACGCATGCTTTGCCCCTTGTCCTTTGGTCTGCACGCTGCGCTGTAGAGGTCGTGTCGGGCAGGCCAGCCCTACGAGGGAGAGACGAGTGCTGGACCGTCTATAAAGAGACTCCAGCGAGGATACACGACTCGTGATGTACAGGAGTATAAAAACAGTACGGTCGGGGCTGGCCAGTTCTGCATTGACTTGGGGCACAGGGGTGGGCCGATTGCACACCAGGTCCTTCAGACACGCCGCTGAACCAGAGCTTCAGGACGTTGACACAAGTGACCACTCAAGAAGGATACAGGGGAAGGGGAAATTCCAGTAAACAGTTCGATTGTTTATTTAATTCATTGTAAAATTCCATTCTGCATGCACACCAGCAAATGATTTTATTTTTATTTTTTGATTAGTTAGTTGTGACGGACTTTGCAAACAACTGACAGACAACTGCAGATAGGTAGCAAGTATTCTTGGCTGCATCGCAATCTGTTTCAGACTAGTCAAAAGTAGGTCCTGGATAGAATTTGTAGGAATCTGAGATTATCTGCTGTTACCATTTGACTACTTTCTGACAAAGCTGGACCGAACATTTATTTTATTTTATTTTAATCGGTTGGATGCCATGCTGCGGTAGGTCCCAGCGAGGACTGTAGTACAGATCGCAGACCACGCACAGCTCATGAGTGGAGATGACAGTGAGGTTGAGGGACTAGAGCAAGACGATACGAGGCTTACCCGGAGACTTGCACGCAGTCGGCCGATCACTTTCCTAGAGTTAGAGCGTACGTAGGCACAGTCCTCACCCAGGTATCCAGGTCCTCGTCCTTCTTCTTGTCGCCAGATAAGGGCTTAGGAGTCGACAAGGGAATCTTGGGGGTCCACTGCATGGGCTGTACAACACCCTGTGCCTGTTGCATCGGATGAGAAACCGGTGGAACAAGCCGCTGCGGCGGCACCTGTTGCTGTTGCGGGACTTGGTGCTGCTGCGGTAGTTGCTGCTGCGGCCGACGCTGTTGCAAGGGCTGCTGCACTTGTGGCTGCCCTGTAGAGGCAGCCACTGAATGGGGAAATGAAGAAGGCTGTACAGGAATCTGCCCACTACTACCTACTACTACTCCGCCTGATGGGGGTATGCCAAACTGTGGGGTAAAGGGTTGCCCTGTCGGCGGCAGGGTCATCCCTGGACCTACAACCGTAGGGGGAACTACAGCAAACTGTGATTGCCTGACCGGAGGTCGAGGCGCCCGCAATTCGGTCAGAATCTGGTTCTGACCAGCAATGAGTGCAGCCAACATCTCCTGCTGGACAGCTTGCACTTCGGTTAAGCAAGGAGTTCCGAAGGGACTGAACCACAGGATCGAGAGTTGTCTCATCTATAGCCTCTAACTTGCCTAGCTCCTCTGCCCCTGGCCCTAACTTTTCTAATCCTAGCTCTTTCTCTTCTCTCCTCTACATCCTGCAACTGGCGCTACAACTCGTTGTGGAGAGCGTCCGCTTCTTGGATCTGATAATCCTCTGCTAACAGTTGTTGCTGCTGGCTGACCTGCAAGCCAGCAGACTGACTAACGGAAGTCTGGGTCCTACCCTGACTAAGACCTGACGAGGAGGCCTGAGATGAGGCCTGTGACATGGTAGAGGCGGTAGCCATGGCTGCCTCGGCGTCGGCTCTAGCATCTGCTTGTAATGCTGCTGCTAGCTGCAGCTATATGGTTAAACAGGTTAGTACAACAGTAGGGCTATGATAATGGTCAGAACTCTGATGGATGGGCACAAGCCAGATCATTGGAGGACCTCGTACGGTTAGTCTATAGTAGGTGGCATGACCCCCAAGGGGCTCAAAAGGCCACTGATTCTCTGGCAGGTCTGGGATCAAAGAGATACCGGACAGTACGGGAGGTAACAGACGCCGTAGAGCGATTGTTCGTTGTTCCTGGCGTGCGGTACAAACCGCAGGTACTCTTGACAACTTGCTTGTGATGTCTGCCTACAAACTTCAAAAACAAGTTAGTCGATTAGGCTTCCATCGACATAAATGACTTTGCTTCATTCAACAAGAAAACCTTGGATACAGAGGCTAGGCTTGGGAGTGCCCAGCAGGGACCCATAGATGGGAGAAAGAAGAAGCTTCCTCAAGATTGGGGGAAGAAAGGCAATCTCATGTTCGTTGACCATGATGGGCAAGCGACTGAGATTGATTGGGGAAGAAACAGAGATAGATGGGAGTGTAGAAACTTCAGATGATGAAGTAGTCGCTCCTATCAGGGAAAAGG